GAGAGACGTCGCCCGCTAGGCCCCCCCCACGACCTCCCCCAAAAAAGCGGGGAAGGGGGGAATCCTTTAAAGGTCCCCCCACAAAAAGAGCCCCTTAAAGGGTTTAAAGGGGGTTTGGTTGGGCCCCCTTTTTCATGCGGCCAAACCGCCGCTTTTTGGCCCCCTCCTGCACTGACACGGGGCCTGGGGGGGTTTCCCCCCCCGGCCTCCGAACCTTGAGCAGGAGACCCCCGATCTCCTCCCCGCTACGGGGCCCCGCCGTCCACCCGTACGTTCCCCGTAGACTCCCCCGGGGAAACGCGGAGCCTGACGGGATCGCCCAAGGGGGGGCCGGGGTTTTTTTCGCCCCCCCTCGGCGGCTTTTCTTGCCACCTTTGGTGGGCATCATTTTTTGCCGGACGTGTCGGATTCCACGTCCCCTGAGGGGTCCGCGTTTCCGGCTGTCGCCTCCGCTCCGGGTTCCCTGGCCTCCGGCCCATCCATGAAGCGGCGGATCTGGAACCGGGAGGGAACCGATCCGGGTGCTCTTGCGGCTCCCAGAGACCAGCGTCAGAAATGACTTTTTGGGGGCCCCATCGAGATAGGCCCTTTTTCCCGCCAAACCCCTCACCCTCGTGGGCGACCCATCCGCTCCACTTTTTCCTCTTCCCCCCTTTGCAATCTTCCTTTCAGTGTTCCCGGGGGTTTGCTCGCCGTTTTTGTTTGGGTTTAAAAATTTTCCCTTTCTTTTTATTTTTTTCAGTATTCAATTTAAAATTCCCCTTTAAATTTAAAAATTCCCCACGGGAAAGGGGGGGGGGGAGGGGGGAAATTAAAAGGTTTCCCCCACCCAGCTAACTATAGGAATGGGTTATTTATGGATATAAAACTGTTTATATGTTTTTCTAATGTTAACTAGTCGATTAGTAAGCTAGTCGATGTACACGTCTTAGTAACAGAGGCGTTCTAGGATAGGGTTTGCTGTTCAAATAAACATGTATACATGAACATGCAGAACATGAACTTGGGTAATCAACTGTTATAATATAAGAAATCCTTGATTTGGATGTGATAGAGTTCAAGGTTACATATATACACGCACAACGCTTCTTTATTCCCGAATTATTTAGGCAGAAGTGTACTCAAGTTCCACACTTTGCGGACTGTAATTTTAGTCCTAATTACGTTATCATTTTAAAGTTTGTTATTTTGTAAAACGAAAATGTAATAAGCCAGCAGTTTTGTTTTACAAACAAAACTGCTGGCTTATTTTGATGGCCTGTGGGATTGACTCGCTGTTTGATAAGCATTGATGCTTACAAAACAGCCTCGGGATAGAGCCTTGTTTAAAAGCTTTACTGGATACTTTAAAGGTGTGAAAATGTATTATAAACCTAACCGGTTACAATAATTTCAATTCTGGTCACGTAATAAGTGTAGCTTAAATAAATAAAAAAAAAACAAATATAAGCAAAAATTTATCTGTAATATGTATGTATTTAGAAATACCGTATTATATAATAGATTACCGTAGTACCGGCTCTGTCTAGTGTGTGATCACACAGGCGTGTGTGAGATGTGTAAGGTATTAATATTATTAAAAAATACCTATATGTATATCAGCGCTCTGGTTATCGTAGTACAGGCTCTGCCTGACCAAATTATAGATGGCAAAATGCCCAAACTATGAATAAGATAATAAAATTTCTTTTACTATCATCATGACCGTCTGTCTTGACGGATATTTCCTTCGATGTTAATTTATTAACTAGAACGATCAAGGCCATACCGCTCCGGTTTTATTGTATTGATATTGTTATGACTATTCGAAGAAAATGAAGGAATAGTATCAGCACATTTGTTATGATGTAGATGTATACCTTAAAAATGCTTTTTTATCTGACTGTGCCAGAAGGAGGGTTATGTCGAGTGTCTGTATGTATGTAGATTTCTTTGGCACGCTCTGTAGCCTAAACGACTTGATGGATTTTAGCGTTTGAGGTGTCATTAGATTCGTCTTAATTGTGAAGAGTCCTACTAGGTAAATGAAAATGTGAATATTTAAATCGCCCGTTTGTAAGTTTCAAGTACATATATGTATTTCCCATTCGGGGCATTCGGGGTTTCCTTTAATAATAATAATTATTATTTTGTTATAATATCTCTTAATACGTCAGCAAAGCAGTAATAGTTTCTATTGGAATGTAAACTAAGTAGCATTTAAAAATAGGTTACTCGAAGTCTGGCGCCTGCCACTGATGGAATAAGACGCTTTACCTCATAATAAAAGGCGCCATTTATGTCGGCACGGCTGCTAGGAGTTTCTCTAACATATATTTCGATATGTATGTATGTAGAGATATGTATGATATGTATGTTTTGGCGTGCTCATGAGTAGGACTAAATCCAGTAATGGGTGACGAAAGAAGTAGACTAAAAAAGAGGAAGTAGTTAGTTGTACAAAATTAGATATCCTCATTATTGATCTTGTCCAATAGCGTAGCTAGGCTAGGGCGAAGAAGCCCGATCTTAAGTGCTACTGCTAGGTCATTGTTACTACCTCTACAGACCGTGACGGTTCATCATCATCATCAATAGCCTTTAATAGTCCACTGCTGGACATAGGCCTCTCCTTAGAAAGGAAGTTTTGGCCTACTATGCCACGCTGGCCAGACGGGTTGGTACAGGGTTTATGTCAAGTTTTCCTTCTCTTCGCAGTGCTGTTGTCCTGCGTAGTTTGCTCCCTTAGTCGCCTCTTACGACACCCACGGGATGAATAGGGGTGGCGACACTCCGTATTCTTAATCCGTCACCACGCGACGCTACGGTTAGCTTGACGGAAAATTAGACGAATTTTTTGGGCACACAGACAAACACGGTCGGGCCACAACAAATAGGTAGCGGGCCAAAAAGCAGCCTGCGTCTTCCCCCGGGATAGACGCGGCGTTAATACGGGAGGGACCTAAAGTTGTGCGCCTGAGGCCGGACGTCGGGCGGGTTTTTAGAGGAAACATCACATACTCTTAACTCCTACTCCAAGACTCCAAGTAATCCAAAGAGATTTTCCAACCCGTAAACAAAACAAAAAGCCTAATTAGTAGTAGCCCAACTACTAATTAGGCTTTTTTGTGACATGTGTGTATATTAACACCGCGCCTATCCCGGGAGAAGCCGCAGGCTTCCCCCGCTTTTTGGCCCACTACCTATTTGTTGTGGCCCGACCGTGCTTTGTTACGATTGCCGGCGGGGACAAAATAAATCTCCTCCGATTAGATTTAAGACACCCCGTTAAGACACCCAAGCGGGCATTTCTCTTGCGCATGCTGTCTTGACTAGTTGGCTGCACAGTGCTGGCATTATGCCGTCTACTCACGTCCGATCGAATTCAGGTACTCATCAAAGCCACAATACCCGAGGAGAACCTGCGTCAGTTATTAGGTGACGCGACCTGCCTCCCTACACATCCACTTTTAGAGGTTAAGCAAAACGGCACCAATAGCGCACATTCACCTCAAATGCACCTCTGCGTTTTCTGTTAAACCACAGGGATGCCGTCTAATAGCGCGTTAACCGAGGGCCCAGACTGCTGATCTTTTGGACGATACAAACTACCCCTAACTCGGCCAGCTCCGAGTCCTCCACCGCGTAACAGTCGACATTTACTTCTAGGGAAAGACTAATTCTTGAGACTGCATTATGCGCGGGGTTCCTCAGAAGAGATCCTGGGACCGACGCCTGGGGAACCCTACTTGTAAGGGAGGTTCCCTTAAACATTCTTCGCTGTCTCGATATGACATGTCGTGAAAATAAGCCCTGAAGATGTGTCATTAGATCGTCTTAAGGTAGTCGCAGGTAGGAGAGCAACTGGTGATACACCAATGCCTTCCTAATCACCCACCACGGGAGCAGGTTCAAATCGTTGACTATGACAAGACAAATGGCCAACATTACTTTCGCCAACTTCGACAGTAAACCTCTTCCTTACTTCAACACAAGATTTACTGCATTAACTGAATATTACAAAAAAATTGGATTCTAGTACGACATAGTTTAAAATCATCAAATAACGAGCTTTTTAAACATTGTAACGATTTAGATGTTTTATTTCAAAATAAAGAAAGCAAGTATATAGAATCTTATTAAGGAAACGTATCTGACGTACCTGTAAATACAGGATCCGCATCCGCAGATAGAAGTATTTCTATGTTAAACATTATCAAGTAGGTCCGACTGCCTGCTTTAGCAATACTTTCCATGGAAGCTGATTTAGCTGCAAAAATTAATTATAAGTCTACCAGAGGATTTCAGTAAGGCAAAAAGCTGAAGAAATTACTTTGGTAAGAAATTAAATCACGCAAGTTACAAAAAAAAACCTCTTTTCAAATCTATATGCTTTTTAATATTCTGCCATCGCGATTTTTTTTTCTCTATCATGAGTAGGTAGATATGTCGTGTCAAAGCATGTTTGGTAAAATAGCTGTATTGGGCACCTAAATCTTGGGAACGAAAGAAATGGGCCTAGCTGATGCGACTTTGCCTACGTCTATGTTAGTCCACGCTACGCCTCTGATCTTGTCTTGTGTTACTGTAATAGTAAATAAACAACTAACATATGGACACTATCCACTTTAAGCTCTTTACAGCAAATCTAACAAAAATAGGATGGTATATGACAATAGGTAAAAATTGTATAAAATTACACGTTTGCAAATTGCGGTTCACTTTAATGACTGACAACCCATCTATTATCGCAAAAATATTCCATAAAGTTGTTTATTCTTACTTCAAACGACGAATAAAACCTAAATTTCTAATAGAATTTCATCAAAATTACGAAATCTTAATATGATAATACCGGATAGTAAACTGATGAGAGTTAATAATGTGCGTGCCTGCATGGAACATTAAAAAAACTAGGAAGCTTAAAAAAAGAAAGTTATTTAAACTTATCAAATAAATTATTTCTTTTAATGTACTTTTATCAGTAAAACGTATGAATTAAAAATTTTTTATGTCATCAGGTCGATGTCCGAAGGCGACAACTCGGTGTTCTCGGAAGGCGGTACCACACCGAAAGATCCTAATGCAGCAACTGTAACTGATGACAAGAACGAAGACAATGCGAGCGGCAACGAGTCAGAGGAAGTCGATGATATCGAACTCATATTTACCACCGATGAATCCAAAGATATGAGTAATTTGCAGGTATTTTTATCCACTCATTCTACACGAATATGACTACAAACATATACAACAACTCTCTTATATGGGCCATATGGTCAGTTGTGACTGCGCAGCAGAAAGTCATCTGTCTAGACGCATCTGTCCACCACACATAAATTATTAATGTACACTTAACTTAGGGCTTTTAAATTAATTGTCGTAATATATATTTTTTTCGGAAAATCCTTAAAAACCTAAAGTTTAAACTTATTCTGTATAGGAAGATCTGGTATCAATACGCGAAACAGACCAGTGGGGTCCACCTTCATCTTCAACAACCCATTCCACACCGGTGCTCATCAAGTTTCACACCTTAGATCCGGACTTTCAACCAGGAACTGAAACCAAAGACACCACTACCGATCATCCAGAAAAACATGTCCCAGTTCCAGAAACTTTGAAAGTTAAAAGAGTTTCACTACCGAACGACAAAGAGATTAAGCATGTAGCTTTTAATGCGAAAGGTAACTTAGAAATACCAAACCGAAGCATTCTCAAGAGCTGTGACAATAAGTCTGATAATATGTTGTACAGAAGAAGTCCCAATACGAGCTCCAGGAGGCTGGACAGTGTTGACAGTTTAACTTGTGAGTACAATCAAGGGATGAGTTTCGATAATACGAAGTCCTCTAGCTTCGAGCTCGGGTCCAGCATGGACATCCTTCACAGAGATGAGAGCGTGGACAGCTTTCATAGGAATATATATTTGGGGCACAGATATTCTGTATTCGCGGAGACTGATATCTCGAAATGTGGTACTTCTGAAGACGACCTGGCCATGAATTTGAATGTGAGGAGGAATACTTGTCCTAATCCATTCCAGTACAGGTTGGTTTTATGTTTTGTAAGGTACCTAAGTGATTAGAGTTCAGACTCATTAGAGAAAAGCTAAAACAATGTTTATGAACAAAATATCTACAGTTTCACACGTGTTTATTCAGTGTGTCGCCTGCGACCTACGTGGCAGGCGCCCCTTCTTAATGAAGAGCCCCCTTTTGGTTCCAAAGCCAATCTAGTTTTCTATACAGCATAGAAATTGTTTCGGCCCTTGTTGATGCATACTTTGCATGAATTTTCCTCTGTAATATAATGAATTAGTGCTAAATGCAATTTAACCAAATTTCATATTTGTTTCTGTTAATTTGTTAATGTCATTCAAGTTGTTATTACAGCACATATAAAGCGTATTACTACAGGGCTTAATGCAAATATCGATTTTATTTCCATTTTCAGACCAAGTGCATACCGTGGTGTAACCCGAACTCCGGGGCCGTTTAAGGCCGTTGGTACACGATTGCGGCCAGTTTTGCGTGACTCCACGCATGCCAGGCGCGAGAGCGGCGCCCAGACCGATGTATGTGCCCTACCTAACAGGTGGAGTTCTGATGGGTACCTGGCTCATAAGGTTTGTAAGAACTTATTTTATTATTATTTGATTTGATTTATTGAGTATGCACCTTTCCTTTTTGACACTAATAGTACCGGGTAATCTCACGCCGTGGATGATGCCAAAGTAGAGTTGTAAAATTTTGTTTATGTAAAACATAAATTAAAACGTGGATAATTAATACGTCTCTGCGTACCTCTCCCGAGTACAAGCGTGATTGTAGTATGTAGACATGTAGTATATATGTGAGGAATTCCTTTCAGTTGCCGCCTCCGCCTACGAGTGTGGTCCCAACCGTGCCAAGGCGCGGCTCGGCCCAGCGCGGCCGCCTCAACGTGCCAGCCCCTGCTCCCACGCAACAGGACGCGCGGCGAGTCTTGTTGAGTGATATCGGTATGTGTGCATTCTGACATTCTGTTTGCTTCTTATAATATCTTAGTTACTTAGATATCTCTTACCGCAATTTATAAAAAAAAAAAAAATTATCTTAACGATATTCTTTTCAAACTGAATGTGCACAGGTTTTGCCCATGTGTTTGTTACCGCAGTAAAGAATATTACGACAAATTTTTATACTAAGTACAAATTCTTCAGAATGACTTATTACTATTGAATAACTATTCTAGACAGCTAAAACAACAGTAATGTTGAACTGTCAATGTTTTATTGCTATATCACATCAGGATTCACATCAATGGTGCCGGAGCTATCGCGTTCGGCCGATCCGGTGTGGGCACTCGGCAAACTGCAACCCCATCCGGAAGAGTCCATAACGACGTCTACATCCAAGTCAGTACTATATTTTTACCTTTATTAAGTTGCTTTTGTATATCCATTTACGTCTCGTTTTCGATAAACTTCTGTAATAAATTAATGATTACTCTTTTTAGAGTTAGGTACACATTTGAAGTTTTGTACAAATATCTTGAATTAATAACAGACAAAATGGATATCTAACTAATTTTCTAAACATCAACAGCCTTTAATAGTCCACCTAGGGACATAGACCTCTTCTTAGAAAGGAGGTTTTGGCCTACCATACCGCTATTTGGCCAGACGGGTGGGTATAGGGTTTGTGTCTAGTTTTCCTTCTATTTGCAGTACTGTTGTTCTGCGTAGTTGGCTCCCTTAGTCGGCTCTTACGACATCCACGGGAGGAATAGAAATCCAGAGGGATGTAAGAAAAGACTTGAACTAAATATCTAATTCTGGAAAATTGAAACGAAGTTGTGAAATTGTACAGTATAATATCACACATCATCACTTAATTACCCTAATTATCGTAAAATTTTAAAAAGGCACAGGTTCGCTAAACATACGCCTAAGTTTGCTAATCAACAGCTTGATTTCTAGTCAGTTTTGTTCAGTAATAAAAGTATTTGATTTTATGTGAGGAGACACCTTAAAGTGGAAAGGTATTTTCCTGAAAGATATTCTTGTAATAAAGTATTACTAAGACTAACAGTAATTCAACTTTCGGTCACAATACGATGTAATCAACGTTGGATATTTAATATTTTACTACGAGAATACCATTTTACCTCAAAACCTTTTGTATTATATGTAATGACTTATTTTGTTTATTTAATTAAACTAATCTTTATAGTACCATGTTAAAGTTGTTTATTTTATTACAATCATAGATTTCTATCACGTGGCTTGTCGTATCGCTCCCCTTGCCTGAGTATGGACCGAAGCAATGACTGGACACAACATGCGTATGCGCAAAAAGGTATGAGCCTGAAATCCTAATACAAGTATAGTTAAATTATAAAAAAGTAACAATTCTTTGTTGTACCAAAAACTTACTTAGATATACTAGTGATCTCAAAGCGTTACGGTGAATTTGATGCCATGACCAGCGCCATCTAGTAAGAACAACTCGGAACAATCCTACATCGTGCATCATCATCATCATCATCAACAGCCTATAATAGTCCACTGCTGGACATAGGCCTTTCCTCAGAAAGGAGGTCGTGCAATTAAACTCAAAATGATTTGCATGTGATACATGGCGGGTTTTAATCCTTTATACATTTTGAATTGTAAACGTTTCAGGACATACCCAAATACACTATTGTTACGTTGCATTTTTAAAGCATTGAGGTAATTAACAGTTCTCATAATATATACTGAATGTGTCTTTTGTTTTAAACATTTCATCAATTCATTTTCTTAAGATCATGTCCTCTTGATTATTATTTTAAGTTCAGAAAGATTTAAATTTACAAGTAGTTATTTGTTTAAGAAGTTTAATAACTAACAAAATAGACACTTTTTAAAATTTATTTGTTAATAATAATAAAATCTTTATTTCTCACCACAATTCATGTTTTCATACATATTAGTTCTTATATACTAAATCAGGCAAAACATTGTACACAATATTGTGGGAGACTGGTGCCTAAACTAAGCTCTGGGCTTGTATTTCAGAACACCAGATCTCTACCCCATGTTACATTGTTACTGTGTGTTTGCGTGTGTGCTTGTTTATTCTATATGAAAATGAAAATGAAGTAATTTATCAGTATTCTTATGAATCTAGGCCTGAAGCCAGTCTGTGAATTAATTTTACATGCCATTTTATTCAGACTATTATATTTGTAGAATTTTGTTCGGTCAATTATACAAGAAACCCCCAAGATGACCGAAGAAACGTTTCGAATACTTATATTGTTGAAAAATGAGAAATAAACTCTCTTTATTTCATTAAATTTTAAAAATTGTTTGAAATATTTTTTTATGTAGACTCTAAAGTCATAGATCAACACATAATAGCGACAATCTCTGTTTTGTCAAATAGTAAGCAAATAAAATTAATAAAAATTGAACTTATACAAAATCTATGATATGCCTGTGCCGATCTACAACCGTCCGTTTCCAATGGGTTGAGCCTTATAAGAAGAAAGGGCAAACAAACTCATGGCCACTCTTTTGCAATTCACAATGGCATTATTAAACATACCACAACATTGTTTTGATGTGTGCCAGTATGTCCGTTATTAAGGATTAAAAAAATCGAATAAAAGAGAAAATGTAGTGAAACATAAAAAATAGAAAAAAAAAATAAACACACTAGCCCACACCACATTTTTACTTAAGAAATAGCCTGCGCTAATTAATCCCAAGCATTTTTGTCTTCTATGTAATTCACAATTGAGTAGTAGGCCCCCTGGCACAAGCCAGGTTTTATTGCGAATTTAAATTTATTAATACTTAAGTCTTGAATATTATTTGGGATTTTATTATAAAATCAGACACATTGACCTCGAAAAGACTTGTTTATCTTTTGGAACTTAGAGGCGGGTACTAATATGTCTGTCTACCGGGCTGTATCGCCGTTGGTTACAAGTTAAAGAACGTACGACCCACGTTAGCAAGGAGTGTTGTTTTAGAACAGCATTAAGAACAAATAGTGAGTGAGTGAGAACAAATGTTACTTTTATTTAAAACTACAATATAAATACTTATTGCAGTTTTAAATTGATTATTTTCGAGTTCTTCTACTCATTAATCTTAGAGATACCAACTTTTGGCCGTCTATGTTGTCTATAGCGTCATCTATGCACCGACCATGGCGATCTTCACTACCGGATGTCCGGTATGATGATACAGAAGAGCTGCTGCATGAGGCTGAGACCTTTGTACGGCGGTCCATTGATAATCTACACTCTCCTAATCTTGACGGTAAGCCTGATTCTATTTGATTTGATTCGATTCTGATGATTACTATTTTTCGGGTTCCGTACGTCCAAATGTCGAAAACGAAACCCTTGTAGAATCACCCGTCCCTCTATCTATTTTCATAGTCAATTTCTTCCGAACCTATAAAACAGTTTATGGTGAAATTTGGTGAATATCAATTTCAGTGACCCTAACGTAGAAAATGTACATGATTTTTGAAGTGAAAACTTCTTTTGGCGCTTTGGGTATTTCTGAACTATAAACAAAAGAATGTATTTTATGAAAAAAAAAACATTGAACTCGCGACACTGTTACCGTTACCGACACCTCTCATCACATCATCAACAGCCTATAATAGTCCACTGCTGGACACAGGCATCTCCTTTACCATCACTTCTGTGAAGTGAAAACTTCTTTAGGCGCGTTGGGCATTTTTTGAGATGGAAAAAAACAATTGAACTCCGGATACTATTACCATTACCGATACCCCTGTACATAAGTATATAAGTTTTCACTTATATACTTATGTACAGGTGTTTTTTTATGAGATAAACGAGCAGACGGATCAATACTGATAGTTAGTAACTACCAGCTCCCATAGACACCTGCAACTCAAGAGTCACAAGTGAGTTGATATTAGACTGCACGGATGGCGTAGTGGTTTAAGCTCCACAAATTGTTTTCTGAGTCTGGGTGTTCTTTGTGTCCGTTTCATGTATGTTTGAAAAGTCCCCCGCGACACAGGACATATATTCTTAATGCGGGACTTGTCATAAAAAATATAAACGTCACTTAACATTATTAAGTATCATTACTTTAAAGTTGTGTACATATGCAGTGGACAGATCACAAGGCGGATCCCAGGTGATGGGCCAGCCGTACATCCCGGCCGAGCCGCGACAGTTACGTCTCGGTCATACCGTTAAGGTCATCACACCCCAAGGACGTATCGCTGTAGGCCGAGTCAGGTAATTATGTTTTAGACTCTAAATGTAATTTTTAGTAATATGTCGCTATAATATTGTAAAGAAATTGGTGTTATGTCCCTCCAACACAATGAGAGGATCCTCTGACCAGGCGAGGTAGTCATGCTTGACGGGCTGCAGCCTAAAGGTTGATATAGGAATCGTATATACACTAAATGGTTCGAAATTTTTCATCATGTGATGTAGGATTAGTAGTTACTCCATAGTTAGGCGTTTCGTAAAATGGTATTGAATATTTTTTTAAATTTGTTAATGTTATGTTAGGTCAGTCATTTAAAAACACATATTTCATCCTCAACTCAGTATTTATTGAACGTTAAAAAGACTTACCTCGGCACGTATATCTGCTATATTCAATATTTTTTAATTGTATTACTAATAGAATCCAGTTTTTAATTTTGTTCCGCTCTGAAAGTTTTTGAACATAACAGATTTTTTAAGTATGCAATGTTGGTCAATTATTCTAGTTAAGATGATCTTTATAACTTTTATCACTTAATATATGGTTCCTGACACGTTCCTTAATAAATCTTCACGCAATAATTCAAAGTTAATTTCAAAATAATGTAAAACCATGAAGCCATTTCAGAGCATTCACCCTAAATTGTTATACCTATTGCGAGTGATGTAAAGGAACTAATTGATGCGGTAACATTGTTTTGATTTATAATTATATACTAGTACAAAAAACACCTTTCATGCAATTTTTACGGAATCATATGAAATTGATCTATTTAACTTTAATTACGATATAAATAGTGATGGATATATGATAGAAAACAAATTTCAAGTTATTAAAACCTGTTTAGGTGAAATAATGTATAGGAAAGATCGTTATGGAATGGAATTGCATTGTCAGATACGTAGGGCTAGCGGGCGGCAGCGCGGCCAACAGCAGCGTAGTCGTAGGCGCGGAGTTCGCGCACGCGGCGCAGCCCGGCCTGCCGCGCAACGACGGCACGCACCGCGGCCGCCGCTATTTCCTCGCGCCGCCGCAACACACCGCGCTCTTCGTGCCCTTCTCCAAGGTCGTCATGGCCTGGGCCAATTAACTCGCACTACGACATCCTCCACCTCCTTATTTTGTACTACGATGTACAGTGAACTACTAATGGTCTAAGCAAAATTGCGATGAGAAAATTACGCATTTATTGTTATATGTGTGTATAACTAAGTGAAAACACGAATCATACTTATTGAAGCTGTAAGTTAATATACAGCTTTAAATGTTCGAATATAAACGAGTGTACGAAAGAACTTACTTTAAAACGTAAGGCAACTTAATAATATATATATCTGTGGTAGACCTCTTGTATATTACTTAAAATAATGGCCTACTTATACAGCATCAAAGGCCTACTTATAACAGCATAAAAAAACTGTACAATTAAAAGTGTTCAGGTTGAATAAATATTCTTTTCGACGAACTCATACTCTAACATCTAAGTATGTAGTGTAAATAATTTTAATCAAATATGTGTACATAACTCAATAAAAGAAATATTATACATTGTAACAAGCGTAACCAAAAATTAATGTTGTCTATAATTGTAATTGTATTTTAAATGATTTGAATTTAGAACAATAAATTTCTAACTCATGTTTTTCGAACACCGTGATTACTGGACTAGTTAAATTACTGATAATGTTGCCAACATTATAAAATATATTTCTGCAATATTTCATATAAATATGAGCATATATTATCCACTCGTAGCTTTTTGTATAAAAAATGTTTTCTAATTGTAAAAAAACAAAAATTATTAAAATTTATAAAAGTATACTGGCATTATATCGATGCGATAGTGTTTTGTTTAATTTGGTGTTACTACCGTTCGAGCAGATACATCACTGGTAGTTGTTGCAAGTATTGCTGCACAGCAGGTGCAACGCAACACACGTAACTTATGGTCGTGTTAACTCCTGCTTCAAAAAATATATACCTAGTCGTTTAATACTAAGTATTATGAAAACTTGATGTTCTATATGTGTTATATGGTAACTTGTATGTATCCCAAAGATGTATGTTTTCTAAATATTACCGTCGTTATATCTTGTATATTATAGCGAAAGATATATAAATCATAGTTAATTAGAAGATGGGGTTTGTATTCTTAAGAGTTGATATTTCTACGAAAAACTACGAAAGTTTAGTTATTTTTTTAAACATGCTCAATTTTTATGGATACTCTATGGATACGTCGTTTAAAATGTTCAGGAATAATTACTGCTAACAAAATATCCAATGAAACTACTACTAGCAAAAGATCAGTAGGTAAAAATTAAAATTATTGGTGTTGTACATATAATATGTATTTTAGTATAATTAATTACCAAAAATATGGGAACGCACGCAGTTATGTATTTTCCATACGACATGGCTTATTTTTTTATTAATTTATTTCCTGTAAGACAAACTATTAGATTAAGGATTCTATACCAAAGAAAATAAGATCTAAAATGAACAGACATGAACAGTGTTTACATAACTTTTGTAGGCTAATTATATACATTAATAATGTGTATGAATGTATGCCTATTTAAAATGATGAGACGAAATACGCTCTATCTGTCTTTATAATGTAACAGGAGGTTAGATTTTAAGTATTTATAAATGCATATGTTATTCATATGTATATTGCGGTGTGTATACATATTTAAGTGAGTGAGTTAAAGTGAAAGAATACTTACTTATGTAGCGGTGCAACCTACTGCGCAACGAGTAACGCGCAGGGTGCAGTGTTGCTTTTTATTGGATTGAAACAATGTTTATTTTTTCTACGTAGGTAATGTATTTTTGTATCTTAAAGTGTGCATTTTATTTTTCATAGTATGTTAATTTTTTTAATAAAAAAAACATTAATGCCCTTTAGTCCTTCAGAAGTGTGATACGCAAATATATTTCACCAGGTTTTTAGGTCACTTTTATCCTACGTGACAACGAAATTGAAAATTATTCGTTAAAAATGCGCTTTTACAACCCCGTGACGATGTGCACTAACGTTTGTGAAATGTCAGAATGTCAGATAACAAAATAACTGACATTTCGAAACATAATATCTTTTGCGTTTGATAAGGGCCTAACAATAAACAAAAAGCTGTTTCGAATAATTGTCAATATCCCTATTGCTATCTAAAGTTGCAATTATTTATATTTGTTTAAACTTGGAAGGCAATACGGGTCCTCTTATGTATAGAAATAACTTGTAGTGTAAGTGTTTCAGTTTTGCTACTATTATCTTCAGAAACACTCGTGCAGTATCTATAGATATATGTTTGTCACTTCTTGTAACTAACCTCCTTATATAATTATAAAAATGACTTCAATATTTCTCTCTGGTGATTATTACCAGCATTGCTTATATATAGGTACATATGTACATTAACAAAAAAAAGTTTAAATTGCAATGCTGGATAAAATAAAACGTCCCTAACCTTCATATCGATCTAAGGTATAAAGGATATAGGGAAGTTATAGAAATATGGAATCTGTTCATTAGAATAATAAGGTACTAGACAGATATGTTTTCACATTGCAAAAAAAATTCATCATAATTTAAATGTATATAAAATGTCCATATTTCATTTTTAGTTTAATTAATCCAGATGCACGACTACACAAATTAGATTCTAACTATAGTCCATTCGCGTTATGAAAATAGTGACGCATCAATCAAGTCGCGCCCTCTGACCAATCGGGTTCCAAGAAATTATTGTTTCGTACCTAAGCTTGAAACTTGATTGGTTGTAAGTACCAACCGACAAAAAAAAAGAAATTACCGTTTAGTTAATCACCGACTGCCGAAAACGGAGGAGGTTCACATTTCGCGGCGATAATTTTTTAAATTTTTAATTCATCGATTTCCAATTTGGAAAGTCATGTTTTTGTAATCATGTAATCATCATGAAAATGTATATCTTCTAGTTGCTCCCATTATAATTTGGTCAAATTCTCTTTGAAAATTGTAATGTTGGGCGCGCCATTATCGCGGCGGTAAGACCCGTTATGGAGGATTGGCTCGAGAGGCCTCACGGGACCCTCTCATACCGGTTGACGCAGGTGATCACTGGGAAAGGATGCTTCGGGAATCACCTGTGTCTGATCTGTAAGGAGCCAACGCCTGAGTGCCACCACTGACTGTCTTACCGCCGCGATAATGGCGTGGGTGGGAGTTCTCACGCTCGGTAATATGATTGCGGTCATGGTGCGGAGCGAGAGTGCGTGGAACTCCGCCGTCTCCTACTGCGAGCAAGTTAGACTTGCGAAGGAGATGGCGGAGCGCGACCGGGAAAGGTTTAGAGCTCTCCGGGCTCGGGCCCGGGCACGGGTCAGGTGCCGTAGGCAACTCAGGCGTCGGAGGTCGCAGAACGACCGGGCATTTCCCGGCTGGTACCCGAGACAGCGTGCGGTTTTTAGTCGATTCGAGTCCGACATAGCCATCGCTGGGTGGTAGCCGAGGGGATTTCCGCACAGAAAAAAAAGGCACCTGTAATGTATATATTTATAACCTGTATATATAATTTGACAAGATTAAAAATGTTTAATGTCTCCATGTATTTGGCAATAATATCTTTCTCTGTGTCATCCAATAATAACAGACAAACGCTGATTATTAAGCGCTCCTTCGGACTAACGTTTGCCTGACTCTTGATAAAAATTTGCGCAACGCTGACGCCTCTTGTCACAGTTTTATCGGGAGTCCAGAATAGACAATTTACAGGTATTTTAACAAACGGAGGAATAACACAACACTTATTCCTCAAGGTGATTTATATTTGTATAAAGAATATTGTGTGGTTAATAATTGCTCATACTTCTAAAATGGTGCTCTGTTAGTTTGTCTCCTCAGTATAGAGTGTTGTGATTATTTAATTATTGTGATTTTTGTTCTGTATCACTATAGTTCAGGCCTATAGTCTATTGGCGTTAAGATAATAGTGACGCATCGATCAAGCCCGCTCTCTGATAATTCAAGTTCCAAAAAATTATCATTTAGAACGAAAGGTTGCAACCTGATTGGTCAGGGGGTGGGGCTTGATCAAGCGTCACTATTTTCTTAACGCGAATAGACTATGGAAGTATAGTAACAATACAGTTTATAGTTAACCAATTGAACAAACCGTTTAGTGGTCGATATTTATTGAAAAGAAGAAGATGAGAGGCGATGCGCCCTCCCCCCTCCCTAACAATTAATGTTTATGAGATTACTAGTTGATTTTAACAGTAGTGATATATTATGCTTATTAACTATTTTATTTCACGCTTAGTTCTTATCTAATTAGATTTATGTAATATAAAGTTTTTTTAAATTATTTTTTCGCAAATTTCATATATACTTATTTTTCTATGCAAATTTACAATTTTGTACATTTTTCTGGTAGTTTAACGAGGAAGAATTACACAAGGAATAAAGGCAATATTGCAACCAACTTTGCCTTGTGTAACTGTCGAAAATAGTCCTGAATATTGGTCTTAAATAATAGTTAATTTAAATACCTAATAAAAAGATTTTCTTCCTTGTCGGCACTTGGCCCGCCATTGCATATCATAGCAGATGTAAGCTTATATTTCCTTAATCTTGCTGCTATCTATACAATATGTATTATTTTAGAAAGCTGAACTATTCTGAAGGGTGTATTTGATGTATAGTGTATAATAATTGTAATATAATAAATTTCAAAGGCAATATGTGAACTATGTTGACGAATAAATTGCATTAAACATAATAATTTTGGGGCTGATTCAGAGTGGTAACCTAAAAAACCTATTCTAGGTTAATAATTTTTTATAATAATTATTTAACGTAGTTCAAATACACAAGATGGTGTCAAAATGTTCGATAAAGTATACATTTTTGAATACATTGGTCTACATAAATATGTACAGAAATGGTACATAAATTAAAAAATATATATATATTTAAAATTTTAATATAAATTAAAAACATCTCATAAGACTATTCGTCAATGAAGTTAATGTAGCAGCCTTACATAGGAAATATTACTCTAATAAAAAACGTAAAATTTACTTCTAAATACAGTTGATAAAATT